AGGGCTCCTCCTGTCTCTTGTCCCCCAAAGCTGGGGTTACAGATGTCCCTCTGCTCCCAGCTGGGGATCTGAACTCAGGTTCTCATGCCTGAGTGGCAAGCACTCTGCTCACTGAACCATCTCCTCTCCTTAGCAACTGTATGTACATTTTCACAAAAGAGAAACAGGCTCTAAACTGTACACTGACCTGCTGAGAACCACACAGCTGTGACTGTCATCACCAGGGTTTGAAGACAGTTTCCTGCAGGGTTGAGAGCACAGACCATGGACCTGAACTAAGCTAAGAACTAAAAACACATTGGTTACCAGCACTCAGTGGATGGCAGTAATCTTGTTACCTGTCTGTGGTCACTCACTCCATTTTATTTCTTTCCCCCTTTCTCAGTGCTGAGGATTGAACCCAGGGCCCCCCTAGATGTGAGACAAGTTCTTTACCTCACCTACATTCAATTTCTTACTAGGACTAGGGAGCAGGAAATAGCCCTCATTTACCTGAAGGAATGGGCTTGTGTAGTAAGTCCTGTTTGCCCAAATATAGTTCATTACTCACCCAGTACTGGTTAGGTAAGTCTGAAGGTCTGTGGGTTAAAGGCTGCATGCCCCAGACTGACATTATTGGGATGTGGCAGAAGCTTTAAGAGGTAGGGTCTTGTGGGATGCCATTGGGTCAAGGAGTGTGCCCTTGAAAGGATTATGGGATGCTGAACCCTCTGGTCATTGCTCGTAGTCATGAGGTGAACTGGCTGCCACTACTACACACGCTCCTGTAATAAAGTGCTGCCTTGCCATAGGCCCAAAAGCAACGGAGTTAGCTGGCTGTGAACTGCAATCTCCAAAACTGAGGCAAAACACAAAGCACACCTTTCCTGTTTAAGTTGATGGTCAAGGTCCTTAGTTACAGTAATGTAAGCTGCGTCATTGTTAGTGCTGGAGTCCCTGAAGTTGGCTCACTCTGCTTAGGCAGCAGGGTAGCCATTCCACTTACTAAGTAAGGATGTCTTCTCTGCTGCTATCATCAGGTGGCTGTGTCCATGGCCTATTATTTTTATATGTTAGTAATTCCTACACATGATGGTGCTATTTAATGATATTTCTATTTAATGCATAAACATTGTATTTTATTCGTATTTTTTAGACAGGGTCTCACCATATAGCCCCTGCTAGCTTGGAACTCACTATGTAGACCAGGCTGACCTCGAATTACATGATAGAGATCCAAGTGCCTCTGCCTCCCTGATGCTGGGGAATATAGGTGTGTGCGGCCATGTCCAGCTATTCCCTTATTTGCTTACTTACTTTTGCAGTGATTGAATCTTTGTGCCTGCTAGGTGAACACTCAGCTCCTGAGCTACATTCTAGCATACTTCAGCTGTTGAACAATTTCTTTTTCCAGGCCATAGATAAGTCATACAGTCTCTGCAATGCTGTGGGTGGCCGTGACCCTAGCTCTCCTCAGCCAGTATGGTAAAATGTGAACTGACTCTACAGTGTGCTATGCCGATAAGCAGGTTGGATTATTAAACATTTTGCTTTGTTTGCTTTTTGAGATAGTCTACACTCTGTAGCCTGGTGACTGATGTGGGGCTCAGGCTTCAAGCTGAAGATCAGAAAAGCAAAGTAGCCAGGCACTAGCTCTCACTTTACCTCAGACCGAAAGGCAATAAGGTTCCACTAAACCTCAGGCTGCTGCCTCTCCTCAGCATGGCTGGAGGATGAATGCCTGATACTGACTACTGAAGACCCTGCTCCTATCTTTTATACCCAATAGTGCTGGGATTAAAGGCGTGTGATCCCAGTTGCTGGATCATCTTTGTGTGAGCTGTTTCTCTTTAGGACTGGATCAATCTTGTGTAGATTGGACTCAGAGATTCGTCTACCTCTTAATTCTGAGTCCTAGATAAAAGGTGTGTACTACCACCTCCTAGCTTCTGGCTGCTGGGATTAAAGGCATGAGCTCTGTTACTCTTCACCCTTGTGTAGGCCATGGTGGCCTTGAACTAACAGAGATCTGTCTACCTCTACCTCCCAAGTGGTGGGATTAAAGGTGTGTACCACCACCACCTGGCTTCTATGGCATGTGGCTGATTTGCTTTTTGAATCCTCAGGCAAGCTTTAATAAATCATAAACAATGTAACACCACAGCCTAGCCTGTCCTTGAGTTCAGGAAGGCCTCCCTTGCTGGGTATGAGCTAACACTCCCAAGCTCGTGTGCTGTTTTACTTTCTGGTGGTGCTGGGGAGCAAACTGAGGGTCTTGTTCATGTCAGGCTGTGCCCTTTCACTGAGGCACATCCCAACCTTAGTTATTACTTATAATTCTAAGACAGCACTTGCTATGTTACCCAGGCTGGCCTCTAACATGGGAGCTTCCTCTTTCATGCCCAGAAGTTTCTTTAACTGCATTAAAATAAAACAAAACAAACACACACACAAAAAAAGACAAAACAATGCTTGGTCGGGGGGTTGGTGGTGCACACCTTTAATCCCAGCACTGGGGAGGCAGAGGCAGGCGGATCTCTGTGAGTTCAAGGACAGCCTGGTCTACAGAGCAAGTGCCAGAGATAGGCTACACAGAGAACCCTTGTTTCAAAAAACCAAAAAAAAAAAAACCTGTGTAATTGTAGGGTAATGAGTCTCATCAAAATATTTCCACATATGCCTATACTGTGCTTCAATTTTATCCCCTTCTTCCTCTCTCATCCTCCCTCTGTCCTCCTTCACTCAAGGTATCCTCCCTTCCTTCATAGCACAACGTCTATATAAATGCGTTTCCACTTACGGTGGAGTTTATTGGGACATAGCCCCACTGTTAAGTCATGTAGATACATATATATAGCAACCGTGGTCCTTACTGAGGGGAATTTACCCTGACTGTTCTGCAGGACACATGAGCACATGCATCTTATGACATGTATTCAGTAGACGTTGTCCTACAGAATGGATTTATATACTTTAGGTTTCTTTTTGTTAGTTTGTTTTTCAAGACAGGGGGTTTCTCTGTATAGTTTGGAGGCTGTCCTGGAACTAACTCTGTAGACCAGGCTGGCCTTGAACTCACAGAGATCTGCCTGCCTCTGCCTCCCAAGTGCTGGGATTAAAGATGTGCACCACCAATGCCCATCGGTTTTTTTTGTTTGTTTGTTTGTTTTTCGAGACCAGGTTTCTCTGTGGCTTTGGAGGCTGTCCTGGAACTCACTTTGTAGACCAGGCTGGCCTCGAACTCACAGAGATTCACCTGCCTCTGCCTCCTGAGTGCTGGGATTAAAAGCGTGTGCCACCAACGCCCGGCCAGGCGGTTTTTTTTTTTTATATTTAATGTTATCCTAAGATTTTCTCACATGGTAGTTCTGGCTGTCCTGGAACTCAGTGTAGCCCAGCTTGGCCCCAATCTTCCTGTTTCAGGCCTCCTGAGTGCTGCAATTACAGGCATGTGTCATCATGCTTTGTATATTTAAATTGTTTATATAGTCCACCAAGTTGTCCTCCAAAAACTTTGTGGTCTCATCACTTCCAAGAATGTGTCCGTTCCCATCTCCACCAATACTGGTCTCTTCACTTGCCAACATGGTCAGCTAACATTTTGTGTTCAAAGCTTGTGTGGTTTTTGGATTATCTGTAATATTGTGCCTATTTATACTTTCCTATGATTTCAAGCATATTAGTTCTTTTTAAAAGTAATCTCATTTTACAGATGAGGCTAGCCTGAAACTTATTATGTAACCCAGGCTGGCTTCAAACTTATGGGTGATCCTCCTGCCTCAGCCTCCTAAATGCTGGGATATAGGTAGGAATGGGCCTCCATGCCCAGCCAGTGTTCACTTTCTACTTGTTTTTTTTTTTTAAACTGGCTTTCATGTATTTTTCATTTGCTCCAGATGGTAATTCTTCCTATGTTACAAATAAGTAGTGTGTACTTCATTTTTAAAAGTCCCACTTAATTAACTCGCTGAAGTTTCTGTAGACAGATCTCACTAGGTAGCTATAGTTGGCCTGGAACTCATATGTATACTAGGCTGACCTTGACCTCACAGAGAGGTCTGCCTGCCTCTGCCTGTAGACCTTGACCTCACAGAGAGGTCTGCTGCCTCTGCCTGTAGTCCTGGGATAAAGGGCATCCGCCACCATGCCCATCTTTGGGATTCGTGCTGACACCTCCAGTCACACTCTGCTGCTGACTCACAGCTGGAGTAGACGGCAGAGACGCAGCTCTATCTACTCACTTGGTCTTCAGCTTGAAGTAGGACTTTACTGTCCACTAAACAGCTCATGCCTCCTCTACTTTCTTTCCCTCAAAAACTTCAGCACACACGGCTCAAAGTAGGTTTTAAGGTCTCCATACTTCAGACTGGGACCACTAATATATAGATGCCTGAGAAATGTTTGTTAATAATGATAAAAAAAAAAGCACCCCACCTTCTATGACAGTGTCACCTTCTAACCCCCTTCCCATTCCCAAAGGACTTCCAGGAACATGCAGAAATAGATTTGGTGATTTCACTGAATAAAAATGAGAAGCAACTGTTGATGCTATAAACAGGACACAGCACCCCAGAGGAGGTATTATCAGCTCTGTCAAACTGTTGTCGAGTAGGAATATAAGCTCTATGTTGATAGTGGCTCCATTTTTCCAAAGGTCAAAGTCTGTATTTTAATGTTAAACATACTTCCAAAATGTCAGGCAAGCTTTGTGTGTTGGTTAGGCTAGGGGCAGACTCTGAATCTGTTAGTTCAACAGAGCGTGGCATATAACAGGTACTTATAGCTGAAAATCTTCCCCCAATAGGTATGGTAGCACATGCCATTAATTTCAGTATGTGGGGTGGAGGCAGGAGGATTGATCATGAGTTTGAGGTAATCCTTGGCTAGATAGCAAGCTCAAGGTCAGTCTGAATTACAGCTTTTCTTTAAAAAACAAAAAACGTCTCTCTATTAGCTCCCGGCCCCTGAATAAAACACCCAGAAGTGAGGACAGATAAAGGCTCTTATGCCACTGTTGAAAATTGAGTTTGCTGTTTGAGTGTGACTTTATTTCTGCCTCTCATACTAGTCGCTGAGCAACAGCAAGGTCACATTACTCTTCAAATTGCACACTATTAACACAATGGCTTACAAACACTTTCTGTTGTTAATTTTGTGGCTGAAAAACGAAGGCAACTGATTTGCCTTTAGGTTGTGAATTTACTATTAAAGTGCTTGGCACACTGACTCAAGAGGCAGGGCGGAAGGTGCAGCCTATACCCCACTCTTTGTTTTAAATACAGATATTGATGGAACAGGAAAAGTGAACATACGTGTGATCTGACCATAGAACAAAACAGCTCATGGGACGGTTATGTGCAAGCGCAGGTGTCCGGCTTTCAACCCGAGTCCCAAAGACTGTCCCCAAGCTTTATACCTCCTGCTGCACACTTCTACTACTGGGTTTCTTCTTCCAGGGTCTCCTGGGTGCTTGCTTCTTCAGGGCCAGCCTGTGGGGATGGTGGTTAGGGTCTCAGTGTTGAGTGCTCGCTTGCTCTTTCCGCCTCTGCAGCTCCTCTCGCCGTCTCGCCTGCTGTGCACTCATGCAGTCCCTGAATGCCTGCACTTGGGGCTGGCACTGACGCCAGTCCTGGTGCTCGGCCATGCACTCCTGCACTGCAAAGTGGGAGGCGGCACAGCCAGAGCGGGTGATCAGCTGGTCCAGCGGGTCTTCTTCCTCATCGTCCTTCTTCAGCTGCCGGGTCCAGTTATGGCCTCGTGGGACTGAAGCTGACATCTTGAGGAACCTAGAATACCAGCCAGCACACACAAGGTTAAAGTACAGGTGTGACTATACACGCCTTCCTGCTCATAAACAGCACAGTCCAAACTGCACGTGTGGCCTGCTTAGATGCCCGTCTCCCTTAGAGACTAAGCTCTTTAAGGCCAAATACTGAGCCTGATTTACCAGCACAAAGCCTGGCAGAGAGAGAGCATGCAAAATGGTTTAGATGGAATTAAGATAAAAGTATCTAAGCTCAATGGGGTCTGCCATTGGAATGCACATTAAATGAAATGCGCTATCTTTTTTAAGAAGCCATTTCTGATCAGCCTTTCTTCTTTCTTCTAGAAGATAACATCAGACACTTGGAAGGGAATTCAAGTACATGCAGGATTGACACATGGGAGGAACTGGAGTTCAGAGCAGCTGTGACACAAAGCATATGGAGGCTGGGCAAAGGACAAGTCTGTGGGGTACGAGGCCACTTAGTCAGCAGTATCCAGAAGCAAGGTGTATTCGCCCAGACTGTTCCCCGAGATCATCTGCTTCAGCACCCCACAGAATACAGCAAGGAGGAAAGGCTCGATAGCGGTGACTTTCACATTTGCACGAATGTTACCACGATGGGCTGTAAGGAGCTAAAGGACTCCAAATGCCTCTTCTCTGTCTCATTAACAGGTGGCTACTGAGAGTTGTGTACCAACTACTATGTCGAGAACATGACCAGGTTCCTGTCCTCATGGAGTTTGCAATTTAGGCAGGTAACCAGGCGATTGACAACAGTACGCACAGACAACTGGGAACACAGGGGCAGGAATAAAGCCTCCAAGACTTTCTAGAGCAGCGTTCTCAACCTGTGGGTCGGGGCCCCTCTGGGAGGGGTTGCATATCAGACATTAGCATTAGGATTCTTAATAGTAGCAAATTTACAGTTATGAAGTCACAATGAAATAATTTTATGGTTGGGGGCCTTGTCATGGCAGGAGGAACTGTATTAAAGGGCCACAGCATTAGGAAGGTTGAGAACCACTGTTCTAGAGAAAACGACTTCCAGGCTGAAATTCAAGGATGAATAGGAGTTAGCCAGATATGGGAAGACTATCTCTGGCTAGAGGGAGAAAGAGAGCATTGAACACATGGAATCAAAAGTTTAGTGACTGGGCTAAAGGTGTCGTTTGGTAGTGAAGCAAATATCCAACGCGGGAGAGCCCACTGAACTGGATCCACGGCACCACAAAACAATAAAACACTTCAGTGCCTGGAGAAAACAGCTGAGCAGGAAATGTTAGTAGTTTAAAACTACTACCGTGAGGACAAGGGGTAAGGCATATGGAGGCACAATAAAAGGGAAGTGGCTTTGAAATCCATTGACTGGAAACCTGCCTCAATGAGTGGAATCACCAGCAAGTCACACACACACCACACACACACACACACGCTTTAGTATTCAGTAGGTAGACTCAGTAAACGTTACTGCAGTCTACACCCAAAACATGTTACCCTCGGTATTTTTTTCAATGAAATGACTTCGACCCATGCTCTGAGGTAAGGGCAGGCTACATGGCTGACAGCTTGGCCTGCGCTTCTAGAACGACAGTGAAGGGAAAGCAGAGAAATAAAGGCATCCAGGTCCCTTGAAGCACCTTTCCCAGTTTCGGGCGCACTCCGGCGGTCCCCACGGAGCCGCTGGCGCAAGGATGCGTGCGCATTGCTCACCCGCGGATACAGAAGCGCGTGTGCGCACGTTCCGCCTCAGACGCCCGGTTCCGCAGGCAGTGAGGACACTCCCGCTTCTCTCCGCACGAAGCGGACCTTCGCGGAAGCGCACACACGGAACCCTCTGCACATCCTCATTGGTGAACTCTCTGTAGAGCCCTCCCTCAGTGCTACTCTTCCGGGAAAGGGCGGAAGAGGCGGACAAATGGGGGCGGGATCACGGGGAGATCCCTTTGATGGTTCTGAGACTCGGTGCACACCCTCAGTGGACTCCAGGCCTGAAACTGGAGTAGAGGAGGCGTGTAGCCCATCGTGCCTTTTCATCAGCGAGAGCTAGCTTGGTCCCCGTGTCCGAAGTGGGTTACCAGCTGGAGGGCACAGGGCCCAGAAAATAAATTAAAAAACCGTGTTTACGTTATTTTTCATTCCCAAGACCAAGGAAGCACACATGCGCAGTATAATCCATGTCAGAACTAGGATCTATAAGCACTTAATTGTTGACATGAAAGAGAGAGGCATTTTCTTATTTTTAAAATTACATGTATTTAGGCGTGTCGCCAAGGCGGAGAGCAGAGGACAGCTTGCAGGAACTGGTTCTGTCTGTCCTTTTACATGTGGGATTGACCTCGGGTCATTTGGTGCCAGACACCTTTACTCAGGCCTAAGGGAGATAGCTCCCTCCAGCTCTCCGCCCACCCCACCCCCTTCTCATTGGCAGTGCACACCTGCTGGCGTTCCTTTTCTTAACTGTGCCATAGGCACCAGGATGGAAAGCGAGTTATTTCACCCAACCATATCCAGACAGCTCCAAACTCTTAGCCTCTTTCCCCTCTGAATGGCACTCGGTGTCACTGAGCTCATCAAAAAGAAATCAGGCTTCCTAAATTCTATGAGAAGGCCTTGTCTTACTGATTATCTGTCATTTCAGTATTATAGGTTTTATATCTAATTTTGGTTTTGTTTTGGGTATTTTTGTTTGTGTTGGGGGAGGATAGTAGTGCAGGCTAGCCCTGAATTCATTATGTAGTTCAGGCTGGCCTTAAACTTGTGGCATTCCTTCTGCCTTAGCTTTCTGAGTGCTGCAATTACAAGTGTGTGCCACCATGCCCAGGTTTGAAGCTAAGTTATTTACTATTGTTATAATAGTACACAGTATTATGTATCTATAAGATATGCATATATATACATATATGTCTGATGATCTTCACCTATCATCATAAAAGGTAAGTTCTAGTTCATAACTGGCAAACAAGTTAAAACTTTCTCTACAAATGATAAATTGCATCTCTAAAACTTTGTTCTCTCCCTCCCTCTCTCTCTCTCCCTCCCTCCCTCTCTTTCCCTCCCTGCCTCCCTCCCTCCCTCTCTCTCTCTCTCTCTCTCTCTCTCCCTCCCTCCCTCCCTCCCTCTCCCTCCCTCCCTCTCTCTCCCTCCCTCTCTCTCTCCCTCTCCTTCCCTCCCTCCCTCCCTCCCTCTCTCTCTCTCTCTCTCTTTGTTTTGTTTTTTTGAGACAGGGTTTCTCTGTATTGTTTTGGAGGCTGTCCTGGAACTCACTCTGTAGACCAGGCTGGCCTCGAACTCACAGAGATCCACCTGCCTCCGCCTCCCGAGGGCTGGCATTAAAGGCGTGCGCCACCAATGCCTGGTGGGTTTTTTGTTGTTGTTGTGTGTGTGTGTGTGTGTGTGTGTGTGTGTGTGTGTGGTGGTAGTGGTGATGGTGTTCCTATGGGTCAATTATATAAGCATACAGTTTGTGCAGGTGTCTGAATTGGATCTTTAATGAGATAAATATGAAATTTATTTATTTATTAATTTTGAGACTGGATTTCACTGTGTAGCGCTGCCAGGGCTGACATTTCTTATGTAGATCAAGCTGGCCTTGAATTCACAAAGATCCACCTGCCTTGCCTCCAGAGGGCTGGGATCAAAAGTGTACACCACCTTGCCCAACGAGTTTTCATTTTTGAGATATTCTTTTGTGCAGTAAAAGGAAACCATTTTTGTGTGGTAGTCTTTTATCCGCAAATTGGCCTAGATGGGATCCCAGAGCTTACAGTTTTAGAAGGATCTGCTGTGAAAAACATAATCAAGACAAGCTTTATGTCCTATAAATGGCACAGCATTGAAAACATCCTAGCCACACAGCTCCTTCAGACATCCATGCTACCTTTATTCTCTCCACTTCATTTGTATAATAATCAAAGGTCGTGTGCCTTTGATGGTAATGCACCACCCTGCCTGGTCTATGTGGTTCTGGGGACCTAACCTGGGGCTGCAGGCAAGCTAGGCAAGCATCTACCATCTGATCTACTCAGCCCTACTCAGGATATATATGTATGTATGTATGTATGTATGTATGTATGTATGTATGTACACACACACACGTTACAAGGAAAGAGCAATGCACAGTTTTGTACGTGAAATTAAAGGATTGTGCCCTCACTTTGTTGCCGTCTTCAGCACAAGCTCTTCCTATCCGCTCATGTCATGGCAGTGTCTGCTTCCCTGATCCCTTCAGTAGGCTCTCCTCTGTTAACTGCTCTCCAGGGTTTGTCACCCCACAGCGAACTTCTGCTGCCCCAATAGCCACTGCTGTCCTCATCAAGCTGGGTGCTTCTCTAATCCTTCCCCCACCATCTGTCTTTCATTTTCCCCGCCATCCATGGGCTGAGCCATTGCCATTGCACCTGCTTCATTAACCACGCCCTCTAACTCTGCTTCTGTGGGATTCTGCATAAGACGATACTACGACAGCTCCCAGTCTTTCATTGTTCTAGCTCCATCACCATCCTTGTCAAATGGTGAGAAGTCATCTTTGACTGATATCCCAAGTTTAGTGCTCAAGACCCACATGGTGAAAGGAGTGAACCAACTTAGGAAAGTTGTCCTCTGATATCCACACAAGTTGTGGCATTGTGGCATGTGCATGCACAATCCTGCAAGTACAAGTGCGTGCGTGCGTGCGCACGCGCGCACACACACACACACACACACACACACGCATGCACGCACACACACACACACACACACTATTTTCATTTTTTTGGTTTTTCAAGACAGGGTTTCTCTGTGTAGCCCTGGCTGTGCTGGACCTCACTCTGTAGATCAGGCTGGTTTCACAGATAGAGATCTACCTGCCTCTGCCTCCCAAGTGCTGGAACTAAAGGTCTGCACACCACTGCCTGGCACCACTGCTAATTTTTGCCATGAACGGTGCTGGGTGGGTTCAGACAGTGGGTGTTTCTGGTTTAATGTTCTGTTCCCAAGCCTCTTTCTGTTTGACATTGCTCTGTGTTCTGTTAAACAGTAGATCTGGTATCATACATAAATGTTTAATCCTAGGAAACAAAATGAAGCTTGACTTTGAATTTTCATTACTCATGCTTTCCTTCTTGGATTCTGTCTGTTTTGTTGACTTCTGCAGTTTTTAACTGATTTCAGCAGCAGCACAAGTGGCATCAGAGTGCAGTTCAGCATTTCTCCCCCTCCATAGTTTGCTTATGAATTAAGGGCTGATTTGCAGGCTGGCAAGCAGGCAACAAGCACTGCTTCTTGAAATCTGTCACATAATCAGCCCCAAAGAAATGAAGTCCTCCAAGAGCAAAACCAAGCCCAGATCTTCTAAAGGCCTGAACACCAAGCACAGGGTGCTCCCTGCATCCCTGCTGGCATGGCTAATTCAGCCAAGAGTGTTTAGCTGGCACTGCAGTTTGTGGTATGGGAGACTTTCCAGATCCAGGCCAGCTAGCCTGCAACTGGCAGTATGGTTTGTCAAGTGGTTAGAGGCAAAAATCCCATTTAACAAAGGGCATGCAGACACCCAGGCAAGGGTGTGCTGGCTGAGAACATGCTGCTTGAATATTTTTGAGACAGTTTTAATTTGCATCTATTTATTTTCATTTACATGAGTGTTTCACAGATATATATGTCTGTATACCCCAAGTGTGCCTGGTGCCTGCAGAGGCTGAAAAGGGGTGTTGGATCCCCAGAGACTAGAGTTACAGACAGTTGTGAGCTGTCATATAGGTGTTGGGAATTGAATCTGTGGTCCTCTGGGAGAGCAGCCAGTGCTCTTAATTACTGAGCCATCTCTCCAGTCCCTGAATAGATATTCTAATTGTATTTTTAAAAGATGACCTGTCATAAGAGAATATTGATTTTTTAGGGACATGAATATTGTGACTTTGAAACTTTTTTTCTAATGAAATGTGAGAGCCTGTAGGACATAAAGAGGTTCCAGAAAATCTTGATTATTGAAAACATTGTCATTGTCCTTCAGAATTCCCAGAAATGTTGATGTATGAATGCAGAAGAGATAACAGGCTAAGGGCCCTTGGGTGAGTGTAGCTCCCCGACACCTCACATGAAGGACTGACTGTTGTCAGTCCCTGTTGGTGTGTGTGTGTGTGTGTGTGTGTGTGTGTGTGTGTGTGTGTTTGAGGTAGTGTCTCACAGCTAAGCTTGAACTCATCCTGTTATAGAGGTTGGCCTTAAACTCATGATCTTTCTACCTCTATCTCCTAAGTGCCAGGATTATAGATAGGAGCCACCATGCCCAGTTGGCAGCAAGTTTGCTTTTAGCCTTGTGTTTCAGGTCTTGGCTTGGGTTGGGTCCTGAGTTCCCTCATATTTCTTTCTGCACTTGCCTGTCCCTTTCACAATTCCCTGAGAGTGTTAGTATCTGATTTTCATCTGGAAACTATTGCTCATGTCTTCCAGCTGTATCCTGTTGTTGGACTGTCCTCTATGGGCACAACTCACTTCATAATTAAGAAGATAATGGCATCTCATTGATAAGAAATTACATCGCATCCCTCTGCACTAAGAGGAGCCATGGGGGAGCAATGGTTTCCTGGGCTGGGGAGGGAGGATTAGAGGAGATACACTGAGAGGAGCACTTCCTGTAGTCCTAATGTTTTCATTGGGAAGCTTTAATTGCATCTGACTCGCCTCCCTGGTGGCTTCCTTCTTTTCCATCTGTGTAGTCGAGCATTCATATTTCATGTCCACAGGAAAATGCATCTTCAAAGTTTTGGGCACCATATGCTACTTTTCCCAGGATTCATGCAAAGAGTTTAAGCTATTTTAGTAAAGAAAAAGTACAACATGTTCGTCTTTTTCTGTGCTCTAATACTAAACATATTCAAAATCAATATGTGTTTTAATTGTAAGGTAACACAACTAACAAAGTGTGTGAAGTGTTTGGCAGTACTGGTACTGATCCAAAGAGTGTCTGCAAAGCACTCATTGGTAAGTAATATGAAGAGAATATGAAATTTCTTCCAAAAATGTCTTTTGAGGATTTATTGTTTTATTCATGTGTCTGAGTGTTTTGTTATCATGTATGTATATACACCTCATGTGTGCCTGGTGCCCACAGAGGTCAGAAGAGAACATCAGATCCCCTGG